TCATTTGGAATAAATCGATGAATGTGAACTTCATTTCATTTTGTCATTTGTTTCTTCGTCAGTTTCATTAGGTGACTTTAATAACACTTAAAAATCAAATATCCCCTACTTTTTTTGAATAGAATATTTACAGAATTTATATTGGAGATTTATACAGGATTTTCGCGTCCAAAAAATTCGTTCCAATAGCGAACTTCAGCAACGGCACAATGAAAATTCCCTTGATTGGGTGCTGAATACAGACTCTAATGTACTCAGGAGAGATTTGAATGGACGATCAAAATAGACACACTCCGTCAAAAACCCAAGATTTCATTCTCAGTTTAGAGAGAGAGGGAGAAATGGGGTTTAACGTCCACTCGACACAAACTAGGTATGATACGGGGTGCAGGCGCTAACCATCAAAACAACACGTGGAGGCTTTTCTTTTTTTAAAAAAACCCACAAAAAACCCATATCTTTCACCTTTCCGTATTGTGGTTTATTTTTTAAATTAACATAACTGGTGTTTTAAACTAGCTTATTTGCCCGATTTACGATTAAACGGCTAAATTAAGCTATAGATTAACATAACTGGTGTTTTAAGTTGTATAGCTTGACTTTGGCCCAGTGCATTATATCAATTATTTAACGGTGTTTTATTTTCTTCGTGGTTTTCATATGGAAAATATTAATACAAAATCCATGACTACTAATATCAGCCATACCTACTGCCAGATCACTGATTAGGGTGCATTTCTGTACATTTAATTTAGGGTTTGGTGTAGGAGGGCGGGGGGGGGGGTATTCTTAGAACCAATCCAGCCCAATTTTAGCGCTTTGTTTTTAAAAGTGATTCGAGTAACTTTTATTACCCAGTGTGAAGAAATAGGCGGACATTGAAAGACCCCACAAACCAAATAATGATTGGTCTATATATATATATATATATATATATATATATATATATAGATAATTATGTAAAAGTTCTGATATTTAATAGAATTCTCCGAATAAACCAGTAATATTTAAGGGAATACTCCCAATAAACCAGTAATATTTAATAGAATACTCCTAATAAACCAGTCATACTCAAAGGAATACTCCCAATAAACCACGGTCATGTTTAATAGACTACTCCCAATAAACCAGCCATACTCAATAGACTACTCCCAATAAACCAGTCACATTTAATATCGTTCACGAAGGTACTATGGCAACTGTTTGAGATGCTGATATATTTATAGACGTCTGCTTACCTCGTTGCCCCGACAAGTTTTGATTTGTCCCGTTAATCTACACTGTTGGTGGTTGACAGCATCATTACATGTATAACACGACGCATTATCAGGTATAACGGCTTCTTCTATAGAAATTATAACATATATTTTGTATCACATACAGCCCACGTGTAATAAAAAAAAAATATACATTTACAATCAATATAATAAGTTTACAGTTAAAATTAGTAAAATAGTTCTAGAAGACCATGGTAGTAAATTCGAGTGATGGGAGAAGGAAACTAAAATAATTCAAGCCCGGTTCCCATATGCGAGCAAGATACTAAAATTATGCCAAGTCCCTCGGACAACTGAAAAGTGCGGTTGAAATTCAAAACGCCGATTTAATACATGTTTATAAAATCATCATTTTAAAGACAGATCCTTTGGTCGAATTTCTACTTACAGTAAATTACACAGTTATTGACTATTTAAAGGACAATATTGGTGCCAGTCGTTATCACATATGTGATAGAGCTGGTTAAACACATTCCAAATATAATTTTAACACAGAGATCATTGCTACGATAGCTGAGTAATACAGTTTTCCAGAATCGGAAGTGACGAACGCCAAAGGAAAACACGAGTCATCTCTCTTTATAACTGACTGATGTGACGAGTGATAACGGATATACGGGGCGAATTTCTGCTCACTAATAATTCATTCGAAAACCAAAAATTGTTGTATGAGATTGTGAGAGGATATCTGACAATTCATAAAAAGAATTGACTGCCACTAGATAAGTGAACACGAAAGAAAAACAGAAAAAGTCCGTGCATTACCATGTTTTTATAAGATATAGAATGAATATAAACAAGGGAATGTACGGACTATTTCTATTTTTCTCGTGTTCTCTTATCTAATGACATTCAATTACTTTATTGAATTGTCAGGTATCCTCTTACAGTCCCATATATCAACTTTTGGTCTTCGAAGGAATTATTAGTGAGCAGAAATTCGGCCGTATATCCGTTTTCACTCATCACATCAGTCAGTTATATAGAGAGATGACTCGTGTTTTCCTTTGGCGTTCGTCACTTCCGACTCATGAAACCTGCATTACTCAGCTACCGTAGCAATGATCTCTGTGTTAAAATTATATTTGGAATGTGTTTAACCAGCTCTATCACATATGTGATAATGACTGGCACCAATATTGTCCTTTAAGATGAACGAAAGTTATACCTACGTGAATTGCATGTAGGGAATTGATTATTCGGTGTGTTTACAATTTGTAAACCATCTCTAGTATTATTACAAATAGCCCCGTTCAATTAAAGTTTACCAGGATTTGTTATCATCCATGTCTTTAAAGCTTTTGTATCAGAATCACATTGAATTTGATTTTCATTTAATTCTCTGTAACGGTAGAACAAAATAATATTATTGTCATACTAAACTTTAAACTTCTATTATAAGTTAATCTAGTTTTTTTTTTGACATTTGACACCATAACATATAAATATGATGTAATATTATACGTCGAGTATTATAGAATTGTTATTAGATAATACGTTCAGTATAGAATTGTTAAGATATACGTTCAGTATTATAGAATAAGATATTATACTTACACTGTAACAGGCCCTTCAGTGTTTAACGGCAGAGTTATAAAAGCATGGCGGGAAATACTTGTAATACGATTTCTCTGTAAATTTCTAAAATGAAATGAAATGAAATGAAATGGGGTTTAACGTCCTACTGTTCTGCTCCTAACCTGGGCTAATATACGCCATACAGTGTGCTATGAGGGAAATTTTGCCCGGACAGCGGCACTACGGCCTACTCTTATATCGAATTCCAACTACCAAGGGATCTTTTACGTGCACGCCAATGTGTACACGGGACATCGGTTTTTCGTCCCATCCGAACGACTAGACAGCTTTCCTTGTCAGCCCCTCCGTCCTGCATCACTGACAAGGGAGAACCACGCCGGAAAATCTGGATGAACTTTCTCGGCCAATGCAGGGATCAAACACCCGACCTCCAAGCTAGCGAGCTAGCGTCTTACCCACTTAGCCACGTGATCCCCTTCTAAAATGAATATTATATTTATTCATTATGACATTGTTATCACCAAAATTTGCTTTTGAGTCTGCTCCGTTAACGCAGATAGAGAGAGAGAGAAATTGGGTTTAACGTCCACTCGACACAAACTAGGTCATTTCGGGACTAACACATGGTTCAATTTTATGTCGCAGGGTTAATATGTATATTAATATTACGCTAGCGTGTTTTATTTTTGTGTGTTGAGGTTGTCCATAATAGTTTGTTCTTTGTCGGTAAGCTTGAGTGTGTCTGTCACGTGTGATTGTTTGAATGATCTGATTGGTTTTTAACTCCAGCCGCGAAATGCACGGAGATTCAACTGCACTCCACTATAGAACATCGCACAGGCTAGACATATGGAATAGACACATTTACATGTGTGTGTATTTAGATAACATATTCCATATGTATTTATAGTATTAAACCACACGTTGAATGGTAAGATTATATTCAATATCTTATATTTATCATCAATAGCTTTATAGTTGCTGATGAGTTTAAGTATGACGTGTTTGATCTATATTCGTAAAAGGCTATAATTTAAAGTGGTGCATCTGTGTTTTGTATAATATTTTCCTTAATATTGTTTATTTGTATTTGGTATAAATTGTTTTGCAGGTCATTTACGATCATATATTTATGTGATTAACCTAAATAAAGAATCCTACATGTTTTGGCGTGTTTTTAACTAACGACCCCGTGACATTGGCGCCCAACGTTTTAATGGTGAAATGGTATAAATTATGGTAAATGATCATCTCAACAAGCTAGCGACATTCACATTTCGTGTGTTAAAGTGGTGGTTCCTGATCAACAGTTCCTGAATTAAACCAACGTTCTTCCCAGAAAGTGTTTCTTTTGATGTAAGTTGTATTTTCGCGTTTACCGATCGTTTAAACTAAGAGCTCTCTATAAATTTGTGCACAGCGCGGTTCCAGGACTATCAACAATGCAGCGTCAGCGGATTCTTTGTAATCGGTGAAAAAGACATAAACTATTTAAAATTTGTGCTAATTAATTTTTCTTTTGTAAATCATTATAGTAATTATACCAATCAATACCTTGAATTTGTATAAATTATGTAAGTACTTGTTTGCTATTTAAGTTACTCTAAACATTCATAGTGTTTAGGGGAATACAGTCCCAACCCACCCAAAACCCTTCCCTTGCACTACCTCTCCCATGATTCGAATTGGCTGTATAAAGCTGAATCTACTTCTGTTAGATACCATTTGATCAACCCAGACATGTGTAGTTTTCCTGACCCAACCGTTCCTTTAAATTTGTGTCTTAAAATTGGTCTGTCTTTATCCGTAGTTGATTACATATATTATTTTGTTTAGTTTTTGACATCATTAATTTATTTTTGCAGTTACATCTGAATCAGTTCCAGTTTTTGATAATTAAGATTAAGATTTAAGTCTGCACAGTCTGCACTTTACACTTGCATCACAAGGTAACAAAAGGTTGAAAGAGAGGCTAGTTGTGTTTGCTGTATTTTTACATTTACATTTGGCGCTGCGTTGGCTCATTGTTTTCTTCAGGTTGTAGCGATGACAATTTATTTGATTCTTGACAATTCTTTAAATACAGTATTATTCATGTTTACTAGTATATTTAATATTGGCATACTCATATTAACCTTACTTATCTGTAGCTTTCGTAATATCCAAATTAGCTTAAACAATCATAAAATGGCATCCGGTGGTAAACTAGATGACATTGAAGAACAAGAAATTCAGCATATGATTGAAACACTTCGTGAAAGTCAATATGTAGTATTAACTAAGGAGGAATTCAACAAGCATAGGCGACCTCCGCAATTTTTAGAAAGTACTCCCAAGACGAATGTTAATCCGTCTCGGTTACACCGTTTTCAAGAACTACTTTCACGATCTCAGCCTTTACCCGGTACCGCAAAATCTTCGTCGCCGGAAAGAGCTATCAATCCAAATAGAAATGTAACCGGTATTCCGTATAACGAAGCCCCTAAATTACCCATGTTTTCAGGTGATGAACCTCCTCAAAAGGGTGACACAACGTTTGATGTTTGGCGGTTCGAAGTAGCATGTATTATATCCGACGAATCTATTTCAGAGCACAGCAGTTTGTTAGCAATCCGTCGGTCATTACGCGGCACTGCGCGACAAATTCTTATACCGTTAGGTGAAGCGGCTACTGCTAATCATATTTTAAAGAAACTCGATACATTGTTTGGAAATGTTAGCTCTAATGAATCCATCATGCAAAAGTTCTACACAGAGACGCAGAAAGAAGGCGAATCGGTGACTTCATTTGGGTGTAGATTAGAGTCTTTTACAAATTGCTATTGCTAATGGACATGTAGGTATTGCTGCTAAAGATGATATGCTCCGGTCTAAATTCTGGACAGGTTTACGTAATGAGGCATTGAAAAGTCAAACCCGACATAAATATGATACTGCTCGATGTTATGACGATCTGTTGCGCGAAATACGGTCTGTGGATCAGGAATTAAATACTAATGATAGAAATAAATATGTTAAGATTCAACCCAAGGTTCATCATAATCCTGTACAAGTACCCCAAAATGACAAAATTGATAAGCTTGCCGAACAGATGGAAGTTTTAATGAAGAAATTCCGACAACTTGAGAATAAAGTAGATTCTTTTCAAAAGTCTGATGATGCGCGTAACGATTATTCTGCTGCGATTAATCCAAATTTTCGTGGAGTTATTATAAGGAATTATCGTGGTACTTCTAGGCCTGGGAGTTACCATGGTTACAGTAATCAAGAGTATCGCGGTGGTGTCGGACGCGGCACTTACCGTGGTTATCGAGGTTCCTCTTCCTATAGTAGACCTTGATATCAACAGTTTAACACTCACCCAAAAGCTTAACCTCCTCTGTGGAAGGGCAGGCGGAGCGAGGTATATTGCCTAGCCCTACAAATTTGTTTAGAAACAGATTAATCGGTAAATCCAATGTTGGTGTTATTATCATTTGTGGAATTGAAATGGATGCATTGATTGATAGTGGTTCGATGATAACGTGCATATCTGAGAAATTTTATAGATCTTTAAATTCTCAGCCATTACTAAGAAATATTTCGGATTTCGAATTAAATGTATATACCGCTGGTGGAAATGAACTTCCGTTTATAGGATATATCGAAGCGTCTATTAATATATCGTTTTTATCGGAAGAAAACATTTATGTTCCGGTTCTAGTGACTTCCAACACAGATTACAACCTCAAGGTCTCTGTTGTTGTAGGTACTAATGTTATAAAACTTTGTAAGTTGTCTGGTCCAGATGATTCCATTCCAGAAGCTTGGAGACTTGCTGTTGACAGTATATGTATTGATAAAACAATACCAGTCAAATCGACAAATAAAATTCCGTTTACATTGCCCCCTAATACAGTAATGACTATACAAGCAATTGCAAGGCGACCTAATAATATTACAACTGCTATTACAGAGCTTACTGATACGACACAGTCTGGACATCTTATTGTTTGTCCTAGGTTAGTGAGCTTATGGTCAGTTGGAACCACTGTGCGTGTTCCTGTAAGAGTGTGTAACATATCTTGCCAACCGATTTTGATTCTTCCCAAAATCACTATATGCGGACTTAGCTCGGCGCAAGTTGTTGAATCGTGGTCACCTGACACAACTTCGAAGAAAGTTGGCGACACGTCTTCCCTCGATGAGCTTGGTATCAAAGTCGAATCTGATAGTTTGACAAAAGAACAATTGCTGAAAGGTAATGAACTACTGCAGAAATGGGAGAGTATATTTTCACGTTCTTTTACTGATATAGGCAATACTAATTTGGTAAAACACTCTATAAAGTTGAGTGATAACACTCCTTTTAAGGATGCATACCGTCGTATTCCCCCCTGGTATGTTTGAAGAAGTGAGACAGCATTTGAAAGAGATGTTAGAAGCTGGTGCTATCAGGAAATCTAATAGTCCTTATTGCTCGAACGTTGTCTTAGTTCGAAAAAAGGATGGCTCTTTAAGGTTTTGCATAGATTTTCGGAAACTAAACAACATTACGATTAAGGATGCGTATACACTACCCCGAGTTGACGAAACTATTGATTCGTTAATGGGAGCCAAATTCTTTAGTAAATTAGACTTACGTTCAGGGTATTGGCAGGTCGAAATGAAAGAAGAGGATAAAGAGAAAACCGCTTTCTCTGTGGGTCCACTGGGTTTTTATGAGTGTAATCGCATAGCTTTCGGCTTAACCAACGCACCTGCGACATTTCAACGCTTGATGGAAACGTGTATGGGTGATTTACATCTCACAGAATGTCTCATATTTTTGGACGATATCTTAATTTTTGGTTCCACGTTTGATGAGCACCTAGAACGTCTAGAACGTGTATTTGAGCCGTCAAAGTGTGAGTTTTACAAGACACAGGTAAAGTATCTTGGTCATATAGTTTCGGCTACCGGTGTGGGGAGCTAAGGAGCAGAATGCTTTTGATATCATAATCAATAAACTTACGTCACCTCCTATATTGGCGTATGCTGATTTTAGCAAGCCCTTTATCGTCACAACAGATGCCAGCCAAGATGGGCTAGGCTCAGTTCTTTATCAGGAGCAGAATGGATATGAGCGTGTTATCGCTTATGCAAGTCGTGGATTAAGACCCAGTGAGCGTAATTATCCGGCTCATAAGCTTGAATTTTTGGCTCTGAAGTGGGCTTTATCCGATAAGTTTCACGACTATTTGTATGGAAACACATTTGAGGTACGAACGGATAACAATCCTTTGACGTATGTAACAAAATCAGCTAAGCTTGATGCTACCAGCCATAGGTGGTTGGCCTCTTTGTCTCATTACAACTTTAAATTGGTATATAGAAATGGCAAATCTAATTCAGACGCTGATGGATTGTCCCGAAGGCCTCGTGCTGAAATGTTTCATGACGTCATAAAAGCCGTCTGTGAAGTTGCTTTAGTAGGTAGGGAAGCGCTTCCATTAGCAGAATGTTTAGTATTAACAGACGGTGAAGAGCTTAACCCAGAAATTCATGATACTGATCGAGTGTCTGGTCAAGATTTCAATACCACTGATTGGGCAAGAGAACAATCGAACGATCTTGTTATTGATAGAGTACTCTTTTTGTTAAGATCTGGTGTACGACCTTCGACAATAGATGTTAAATGTGAATCAGAATATGTTCGTAAGTATCTACGCGAATGGAGCAAATTGATCATTCAGAATGATATCTTGTATCGAACAACTGTTTTAGAGAATGAAGAAGTTAGACAATTAGTTTTACCATCATCGTTCAAAAACATCGTGCTTAAATATCTTCATGATAATGTTGGTCATCAGGGACGAGACCGGACATTGTGGCTTGTACGTCGTAGATTTTATTGGCCAGGTCTGGAAGCTGATGTAGAAGCTAAAGTTCAGAACTGTGGAAGATGCATACGACGCAAGACGCCCTTGAAGCGGAAAGCTGAATTGGTATCAATTCAGACATCCTATGGAACTGGTATGTATTGACTTTTTATCTCTTGAAAGATCTAAAGGCGGATATGAAGATGTTTTAGTTATTACCGATCACTTTACAAAATACGCCCAGGCATTTCCTACCCGTAATCAATTGGCGAAAACAACAGCAAAAGTTCTGTATGAAAACTTTATCAATTATTACAGTTTTCCAGCAAGACTGCATAGTGACCAAGGTAGAAACTTTGAAAGCCGTGTAATTAAGGAATTATGCAAGTTGGCTGGTGTAGAAAAGAGTCGTACGACGCCGTACCATCCTATGGGTAACGGTATTGTAGAACGTTTCAACCAGACGCTAATTAGTATGCTTGGTACGCTTAAAGATTATCAGAAAGCGGATTGGAAATCATATATCGCCCCGCTCGTGCATGCTTATAATGCTACAAGACACGAGACGACCACTTTTTCGCCTCACTATTTAATGTTCAGATGGCACCCAAAATTAGCTGTAGATGCATATTTAGGATTGGATGATCCACCAGATGTGATATCAACTAGAGAGAATTATGCGAAGAAGCTGAAACGAAGACTAAATTATGCTTATAAGGTAGCCACTGCTGAATCAAAACGACGTAGTATGCGTACTAAAGAACGGTACGATTCAAAGGTAAGGGATTCAATTTTACAGGTAAGCGATAGTGTTTTAGTCAGAAACTTGGGTATAAAAGGTAAGCATAAACTTTCAGATAAATGGGAGAAAGATCCATATATTGTATTAAAAATTCCCAATCAAGATGTTCCCGTTTATGAAGTGCAGAAGGATTCCGGGAAAGGGCCAAAAAGAACACTTCACAGAAATCTCCTCCTTCCGTTCATGTCAATTCCTCGATTTGAGTCCGTTCAATCGGAGTCTGAAGATGAAGAATCCGTCCCAAAACGAACAAAGGCTAAGCCAAACACATCTGTGGAATCTCCTTCAGAGGATAGTAGTTCAGATGATAATAATGTTCCTAGATACGTAATAACCGCAAGAAGAATAAAACAACGTCAGCGTGACGGGGATATATCATCCATAGAAATGTTTGACGGTTCTAGTTTTCCGGTAGATTTCAATTCAGTTTCGCCTTCGCGAACACATTTAGGTACAACCATGGATGTTAGTAATCGAGATCGTACGGGTGAAACTTTATCGGCACCTGATGAAACCTATGTAATTACACCTCCGTTGCCACGCCCTGTAAGAAATCGAAAACCACCAGATAGGTTTGGGGAATGGCTTATGATTCAACAAGTTGACCCGCGTGATCCCGTTTTTGTGTAATCTTTTTCAGGATAGATTAGTGCAGGGGAGAATGTCGGGAGGTTAGTCTATCAATAGAGTATTGATGTATTATATTCATATGAATATTTATTTTCAGCTGATTACTAAGTTAATTTACATTGCTTAATCAACGTTAACGATACTAGTATATTCATCGATTTGTAATTTTCACATTCAATTTGGTGTAACTAATATTTATTTTTCAGGTATATATAGTTGTATCCTGTAAATGTATGGTTTTGTTCTCTGGTGAAATGCCAGGAGGCATTTTCTCTTAGCAGGGGAGAATGTCGCAGGGTTAATATGTATATTAATATTGCGCTAGCGTGTTTTATTTTTGTGTGTTGAGGTTGTCCATAATAGTTTGTTCTTTGTCGGTAAGCTTGGGTGTGTCTGTCACGTGTGATTGTTTGAATGATCTGATTGGTTTTTAACTCCAGCCGCGAAATGCACGGAGATTCAACTGCACTCCACTATAGAACATCGCACAGGCTAGACATGGAATAGACACATTTACATGTGTGTGTATTTAGGGGTCTTTAGCAGTGGGAGGAAACCGGAGGACCCGGAGAAAACCCACGAGGTTGGACAGGCGACCCTACTCCTTGTCACGTACAACTGGGGAATCGAAACCCCGCCAGTTGACTCAATGACAGACCGTATGATACAACGCGCGCGTGCTAACCATTCGGCCATCCAACCCCCGGTTAACGCAGATAGCAATCACTTACATTTTGTTGGTTTGAAGGAGATCAATTTCTATGACCTTCGTTTTTTATC